TACACACTTCATAATTCTACAAATGTTGATGTCATTTAGGTACTGGTGGATATTGAAGTGGTTAAAAAGTTTTATGGAAGTGATGCAAAAGGATTTAGAGAGGGATTATGGGGGAGAAGGGTGATCGGGCCAGCAGAAGCTGGCGCTTCACCGGGAACGGGACGCCAGCAGATGCGTCCGAAAAAGAGCGGCCCAGTGCCCGCCAGCACCCGGCCGCGTGTCGTTGCCCGGTGCTGGTGCGGGCCGGAACGCCGTGCGAGTAGGCAACCACTTGCTCTTCCTCGGAGATGCCCGCTTGCGACTATTTCCCTTTTCCCCCGCATAATCCCTGCTTTTCCCTCCGATGCCCGCTAGCGACCATCCGGCCCCTCCTGCCGGGGGACCATGCCAGCTTGCGACCACCTCCCGAATCAGGACTTGCTGCCAAGCACAATCCTGAAGAACTCCGTGGCATGTACTTTCGGGACGTCCCAGTAGTACGTGTGAGTTCTTCCGGAGGATCACCTCCAATGCCTCCCGAAAGTAAACGGGAGCTGCTTTGTTGACTGGGATTCTACACTTAAGCATAGTCCATGATCCGCCCAAACGCTGCTCGTCGACTCATCTCTGGTCTTCCAGGGCTGCTGCACGCCCAATCGTTGTCTGCTCATAGTTCCAGGCGCGGATTACCGGAAAATTTCGCGAATCGACCGGGAACAATGGGGATACAGTCGGAACTCTCAACAGATTCCGGCTGGAGTGCCAAAATACGGCCGGAGAGAAGGAATACGGTCGGAAATCGTATAGATTTACGGCCGGAATACCACTTTCCGGCCTGAAACCTGGCCGGAATTTTCACTGGGGTAGTCGTTCTACAAAAGAGGTGTCGCATTCGTGCGGACTCGCATTTTGTCTTTTGAAAGTTCGGCAACAAACGTTCCTCAAGTAAACCTAAAATCATTAGTTTTACGTACCTAACGCTGCTACTTCACTAAAGAGTAACAAAGTGACAAATCTAGATTGATAAGTGTTCCGTCTCAGTTTCAGAAAAAAAACATTTTATGCATACATAAATTAAATGTTGCATTTGTATTTAGAGTATTATTTTGTTGCGATCGTATACTAATTTTTGCATTTTAATAAAAAAAATACACTGTAAAAAGCTTACGAACTAAATACTTTGCAACGTTACGAACAATTTTCGTTCTTTGTATTGCAAAGAAATTGTTCGTATTGCAAAGCGATTGTTTGTAAGGCTAGACGGGTCTTACGAACAATCGGTTTGCATTACGAACTAATTGTTCGTAAGCTTACGACGGGCTGCAGCGTCGTAACCTTGGTGGTAAAAAATCCGGCGACCTCGCTGGATGGTAGGTAGGCCGTCTGGGAACACCTCGAGAAATATCAGATTTTGTACCACCAGGGATAAAAATATCCCGCCCTCAGAAGTCGGCTCAGAGCCTAAGTGGCAAAGAGTTTCCGCGCTCTGAGCCGTTTTTAGAGGGCTGCAGCGTCGTAACCTTGGCGGTACAAAATCTGGCGACCAAGGTGGATGGTATAGGTAGCCCGTCTGGGAACACACTGGGAATATATCAGATTTCTTACCACCAAGGATAAAAATGTCCCGCCCTCCAAAGTCGGCTCAGAGCCTAAGAGGCACAGACTTTCAGGAAAAGTGTCCCGCCATATTTTGATATGTTGTTCCTCAGGTCCTAAAACGCAATTCTGGATGGTTTGTTTTTGGACCATTTTTCGGTTGTGCTTTGGGTGAAGCGCTCTAAACATTTTTAGAGGGCTGCAGCGTCGTAACCTTAAGAGGCCCACCACGACGCCCGGGCCCAGGTCTAACGACCAGAGCAAAACCTGGGGATACGGGTTCCGTAACGGCCGGTGAGTTAGCAGTGTATATAATGCAGTCTTTAAGGAC